AGTTCTCGTATTTCTTACCTACTGCTGCATCCTGCTACATCCCTTCGCGCGCGACGCCCCTCTCACCGCGGCGCGACCATTTCGTTCCTAACGCACCACACCCTAGTCCTTGAGTAAGTAGCTGTTCTTACGCTTCTATAACAGAGTGAACTATGCGTCTCTGGTGGTATTCCGGGAAAGGCGCTTATACTGGACCGCTATGTTTAGAATAGGCCCTGTCTCGTTTTTTCTCTGGATTCGAACATTGATTGGAGGAATTTCTATTAGGTCAAACAGTCGATCATTTCGATGGGTCATTTTACGACAAACTGAACATTTCCTTCGATCAATCATCTTTTGATAGTGAAGTTTGTTGTATTGTTACACATTTACTGGTACCTACTCTATTTACTATCGTATCGTATATTGAACCGCTATCGTTTTTGTTACCCCCTATTGTTGGTGTTTTAGGGATAAAGATCAACGCTTAGGTTCATTTTATAATTTGTTCTCTCACCAATCCAGTATTTATTGATTGATTTTGCGTAACTGTTTGGAATGTGGGTTGGAAGTGAGACGTGCATGTATGTGGAACCTGTTTTAGTCTCTAAAAATGGAAGAGATATTTATCAGACAACTACTTGACGTAGCCTGAGAGGAACCATCATAATGACAGTGCTATACTACTGTGCTCAGGCCTTTTTCGAAGTCAGATTTGCTTTTGGGACTGTATACGTTGGGTACATTGCAGGTGTGTGCTTATATCAAATGTAGGGAGTATCGTTTGCGGTACTTGTCCAGGTTCCATTTGGGTGGATGTGGGACGGTAGCATATTGAATAAATAAATAAATAAATAAATAAATAAATAAATAAATTCTCAAAACGCATTGCTATTTTTATGAGGTGACAATGTCGACAGGAGAATATGATGTTCCATTCCATGAAAAAAGGAATTTTTATCTAAGCATCTTCGAGAGCATGTGAACACGGTGCCAAAGTTCTCAGGTGAGCCTCATTAGCTGCTATTCAAAGGCACAGTTCACGTTAGAAGTGGTTTCTGAGAATTCCCTACAGTACGAATTCGAGGCTTCCCCTTATACTATACCTTCCGTTATAAGGTCGATAAAAGTCATGGATAGGGCACAATAAGGGGCTAGAGGTTGTATCCTGTGAATGCCACACCCATCGTGGACGAGTTTCAAAAGCTTTGTTGAGGCTGCACTATCCCAGGAGTCTCTCATGACGGAAGTTCAAACAACTTGTTATGACCCATGGCCACAGTGAAAGGCAGTTTCGAACAATTTCGGTTTGGAATAGTCATCGCTTTGAGCGATGGAAGCATGATAAATCTCGTCCTAACGCCCCTCACATGCCATGGCCGTCACGGTGATCTCGTACAACCTCCACTACTTTCAAAAAGCCGTGAATTAGGCGAATTTTTTCGCTTTCTTCACCACCGATGTACTCCTCTACATCA